TCGTCCACCTGGCACGTTGGTGCCATCGTAGAAGACGAATGGTATCACCACTTCCGTGGCCTTGACTGCGTCGCGCATGACGATGAAGTCTTGCCGTGCCAATTCTGCCTGTTGCGCTTCACGTTGGAGAGCCGTTTTGGTCATAACGCGGGGCTTGAGGCCGATGTTCGAGTTTGCGCCCAGCTTCTTCTTGAACACTTTGGGTTCTGCTTCCGGGGCAGAAGCGTCTGCGGGTGTGCTTTCGCGCGGGGTCGGCGTCTTGGAAACATTGGATTCGGTGTCTTCGTCTTCGTCTATGCCGAATGACAGCTTGCCTTTCCCGCCTACTTTGCGCTTCTTCTTGAAGACGGGTTTTGGTGTCGATGCCCTGTACTTTGCAAATTAGCGGGTACTTCCCAATTGGAAACGACCGTCCTTACCCGTCTGTTGGTGTGTTTTCGCCCGAACTGATTGCAGTGTCACCTCGCTCCTTCCTGTCCAACGCGTCGGCGCGTCGCTTGCGGTAGTCGTCGAGGTTGACCAGGCCGACAGTTTGCGCCTTTAGCAAGTCTTCTGCTGTCGCGGCCTGCGATGTGAAGCGGGGGTTACCAGACGCATCTGCGCGATCGCTTGAACTGGACGCGAACCTGTCCATGTTGGCGGAACGATATGTGGTGGGGGATGCGACTGCCAGAAAGTTGATGGTGCCTGCCGAATATCAGAAACGCGCTAGCAGCTCGTCTCGTGATTACGCGATTTGGCGCGGTCACCCGGAAAGATCCCCACCCCACTCCCCGGTAGTCTCGCCTCTGCGACCCAAGCATCTACCTGAAGACACACGGCGGGAACAACGATGTCGCGCATTGTACAGGATTCTGATGAGGAGTCGGACGGCGATCTCGAGGGCGACCTCCCGCCGCCCAAACAAGCAGACGCGTCCGGACAGCCACTCAGCAACGACACCCACGGCACGGGATCCACCGGTAGGGCTGAGTTCACGGCATCATGTCATCAGACCGAGCTGACGTGCAGCCCAGAATCTCTGAAGCGAGCTATTGAAAAGGCGCACCGGAACCATCTCCAGTCACAGCCGAGCCAGGAAGAGCCTCAGTCATCGGTGTCATTGCCTGAACATCCAAACAAGAAGAGAAAGACCATAGCTGATCCAAGTCCGCTCAAATCATTCAATGATGTGTCTGCTAAGAAAGGGCCCGTCACGTATGGGAAGGCTCCGAAATTCATCTTCGGTAGTTCTCCATCGTTCAACGCTCCACTTGTGGGCCGAGCAGACGCGGCCCTCGAATCAACGCAAGAAGTACCATGGCTCCCAGAAGGAACTATGCGCGACAACTACGCCCTCCACGAACCGGCCATGTTCCCTGAGCCTTCTAGTACCGTTCCCAACGCTACTATGACCCAGCAACATATGCTCGATGTTGTCAATGCACCACTCACGATAGGACAAGAGATCGACAGTGAACAACCTCGTTACATACCTCCACCTGAGCCCTCAATACCCTGGTCAGATCTTATGAAGTTCACACCGGCAGACGCGACGGAACAGACTGAATCATCTGATCGTGACCCACCTTCAAATGATCCTCCGTCAGCCACGCCAGTCCGGACGTCACAGGGAGGCTATGAGTACAGCGCATCTCAACGCAGCAGGCGCGGATCTGGTGGTCCTTTGAAAGGCAGCCCTTTGAGAAATGAACTTTCCCGTAATGGAGCCGGTGACGCCGACCGAAAGGCGACACCAGTTGAAGCCAGCTCTGTCGATATTTGGGATATACCATCAACTGCACCACAGAAGACTCCGCGCGGTGAACACAAGGTAGTCAAGACGACACCTCGTCGTTCAAAATCCGCACAAGTGCCTGTCGCCAGCTCCGACGACGATCTTGCGAATATTGGCCTGCCAAAGGAGCAATACAAGCCACGGCCCAGCCGCTCGAGATCGCTCAGGGTTGAAGAGGAGCAGCCCATCGACTATTCTGTCCGTCCCGAGAAGGCCAAAAAGGTCAGTAAAAGGCGACAAACGACGGCTACAGCCGATACCAGCAACCCTACAACACCAGAAAAGGTTCGGCAGATTTGTGACATGGGATTTACACCTTCAACGACTTCTGGCGCCCTCAAGAAAAACAACGGTGACGTCATACAGACCATCGACTGGCTAGTCACTAACAATGTTGGCCACGACGAGCTTGCACCACCAAGTCCACCCAAAACCAAGCCGGTCATGAACAAGAGCGACGAAACTCCGGCGATGGACTCTGAGGCTATTCAAGATATTATGCGCAGTCTAGACCAGTATCAGAGGGATGATACGCAGGCCGTTGCGCAGGATGTGGTTCATGTTGCGGTGGCGAATGATGCCATACTACCAGAGCCTATCGACCTCACAGAAACTCCAACTTCCGATTTGCGCTCGCCTACGAAAGTTCAGGTAGTGATACCTAAGAAGTCACCACTTGCGGTTTCGAAGCAGCCCCCAAGCTCTACCACTGCCTCGAATAAGAAGGCAAAGCGCAAAAAGCCCACATCAAATCCAGCCGAGAGTGAACCTGCTGAGACGGACTCTACCGTGCCTGAGATCGCGCCTGCGAAGAAGAAGGCACGCGGTCGGCCCAAGAAGGTCGCGCCTGTTGCTTCGCCTAAAGAACCTGACCCAGAACCGTTAGAACAAGCTGTGGAAGTAGAGCATCAACAAGAAGTTGTACAAACGACCGAGCCCGGGTCCAATCCAGAAGAGATAGAGCAAGACTCTAAACTCACACGCAATGATATCGATGACGGGAAATCGCCAGACGCTACGGATACCACGACTGCCAGCCATTCAAAACCACCAGCGAAACCCTCTCCAGCTGCGGCGTCAGAGACTCCAGAACGAAAAATAAAACCTACAACTGCATCGCCAGCGAACACTGGCAAGGTGCTATACCGTGTCGGGCTGAGCAAACGAGCGAGGATCGCTCCTCTCTTGCGCATTGTGAAGAAATGATTAAACAAAGCATACTCGTGCTTCTGCGTCGGCATCGCGAACCATGATACCATACCTCTTATCCAGACATGTACTTGAACTTAATGATACCCACTTTTACTCGGCATTGCCGTCAATTTCCACCTCTTCGTAACATCGTATACAAGGACCAGCTGAAGTTTTTCTAGTGGCGCTTCTGCCTTAGCCGGCCACAACTGAGCGACTAACAAATGCAGCTATCCAAAGTCACTACCGTGGAGCTAAAGCGAACAGCGCAGCCGCTTAGCCGCTTCCTCGCAGCGGCAGATCTGTATTTAGCAGTTAGCTGCTCTACACTGTACTCACTGGTCACATTACCTTAGCGATCTCTCCAGACATTCTACATCGCATTGTACATGCGATTTGTTTGCCGGTGGTTCGTTGCCGCGCGCGGCATTATCGATTATCGAGAGCGGACGCCAGTGCTCGCTTCGAGCTTGGCAGTGGAAATGAAGGCCTTCAGGGGCCTCCTAGCATCGAATCGCGGCCAGCGGACGACCACCGGGGCGTTCCCAATCCTGCTCTCCTGAGCTTGGCATTCAGGCGTTCGTCTTAGGGCTGGACGAAATGCGATTCGAAGTCTCATCGTACGAACGGCGTGCATGACGATGTACCGTTACTGGTGCGCTGTCGCTTATTCCCAATACCACGGCACGAGGCATCGCAACGGCCGTTCGTTGATAACACTGACATCGCTGACAGCACGAACCACGAGTAAAGTGCTTCCAGACTGACAGTGACAGATATCGCATCGAAATTGCGAGTAGTATCCTACGGTCACCGATCACACCAGCAGCGAAGGCCTCCGCAGAGCCCTTCAATCTCAGAGCTCTCTGATGGGTGCCGCGTACCGAGAGAGCCGAAAGCAAACGGCCTCTGATTCCTACGCGAGACGCCATTGAACGCCACATAAAGCCAACACGTGAAAAGCACGATGTTTTTGTGATGCCAAGTACTCCTCTAGCCTATTGTTGAGTTGGGCCCCGCCGGCGATCATCCCACTTCAGTATATCCGCGACGGGAGCCGGTCACAACCAGCATCGCGGCTCATATATTTAGACCCCAGCGGTTTAAAGGCTTGGCCTCGTCAGGAACAGGACAGATTCGGGCTCTGTTATCCCTCTTCGAGATTGACATGTCCCTAGGAATTGGAAGCTGTCAAGCCTCCAGGTCTGCTCGGCTACCAAGACATACTATCACATTGGGGACGCCAGATCATGTTGTAGCATTTGGTGGTGGCTTATACTAGGCGCCTTCGCAGCTGTCTCCGTACCATGCCGTCTCCACATCCTCTTCGTATCCCACGAAGGTTTCCCAGGGCCGCGCTCTTGGCTGCTGATAATAGTGTGCTGACTTCTTCCAGTTAGTGGGCTCCACTCCTCGCAGCTACGCCGCCACGAGTCGCCCTTGGAGGTGCGTCTATGGCATTATGTGATATAAGTACATCGGGATTCTTCTTCCTACGCTCTTCACTCGTCTTGCTCGTCTTTGCACGCATAGCGACCGTCACTCGTTTTTTCATATCGACTAATATTAATTGACGTTACTGTCAACCACACTCGCTTTCACTATCCCAACCGAGGTCGACTACAACTATTATACTGGTGCTGTAAACATTAATTCGACAAGATGCGTTTTTCCCAAATCGCTGCTGCCTCCTTGGTAGCACCGCTCGTCGCCGCTCATGGCATGGAGGGTATGCCAAGGATCGTTGGTTTGCCCAGGCAATTGAGGGCCAGCAACCCTCTTGCTGGTTACTCAGGTGGTCATGCTGCTGAGGCAGGACCCGTCATTCGCCCCCGACAGTCCACTGACGGACGTTGCGGACCAGATGGCGGCAACCAAAAGTGCGCGGACAACGAGTGCTGCTCAAGCGCCGTACGTATATTGGAAGAGACACTTCGTGGATTGAGCGTAAACTGACAGTAGAACAGGGATACTGCGGTACTACCCAGGAACACTGCCAAGCGCCCGACTGCTTGTTCAACTTTGGTCCTGCATGCGGTATGACGAATTCTATACCCTGCACGATGAACCCGTTACTAATGTTATGAAAGACGCCAACAAGACTCCTGCTGGAGCAAGCACCCGTAACGACCCACGCCCCCAGCTTGGAAGCATCCCCTACGGCGGTGAGGGCATCTATGTCTGCAATAACCCTGGAACCGTTGCAATCACATACGACGATGGTCCATACATCTACACCGAGGGTGTTATGAAGCTGTTCGAGGCACGAGGAGCCCACGCCACCTTCTTCATCACCGGTAACAACATCGGCAAGGGCGCTATTGACGAGAACTGGGCGGGTGTCATCAAGAAGATGTACGACAACGGCCACCAGGTCGCCTCTCACACATGGTCCCACCAGGACCTCAGTGCTATCACCAAGGAGGAAGCTTACGACCAAATGGTCAAGAACGAGATGGCTATCCGCAACATCATCGGCAAATATCCCACCTACATGCGCCCTCCGTACTCTTCTTGCACTGGAAGCTGCCAGGAAGTCATGGCTGATCTCGGTTACGTTGTGTCTTACTTTGACCTCGATACCGATGACTACAACCAATTGACACCCGAGAAGATTCAGGTCGCAAAAGACAACTTCAAGAAGGGCATTGATACCCGTAACGAAGGATATTTCGATGGCGACAGGCTTGCCATTGGCCACGACATCCACCAGTTGACCGCCGAGAACCTCACCGTATACATGCTCGACTATCTCTACGCTCAAGGTCTCAGGGCTGTCACCATGGGTGAGTGCATGCAGGACCCCGAGGAGAACTGGTACCGCGACTCTACTCCCGCTCCTCCTAGCACCTCATCTACCCGTACGTCTTCCTCCGCTGTCCCCACTCCTACCGGCCCCACCTCCAAGGACGGTATGTGCGGTGCTGCTGGTGGCTCTCAATCCTGCGTTGGCTGGGTTGGTGTCGACGGTCTCCTCGGCGAGTGCTGCTCTCAATACGGCTACTGTGGCAACACCGCCGACCACTGCCAGACTGGCTGCCAAGCTGGTTTCGGAAAGTGCGGTGCCCAGCCCAGTGCTTCTCCATCTGCCTCTGCTACCGTCTCTGCTAGCGTCACTGGCCCTATCCCTACCCCTACCGGTCCCACCACTACCGATGGATCCTGCGGTGCGGCAAACGGTGGCATGACTTGCATTGGCTTCAACGGCCCTGCCGGTCTGAGCGAGTGCTGCTCCCAGTACGGATACTGTGGGAATACCGATATCTACTGCGACGCTGGATGCCAAGCTGGCTTCGGAAAGTGCGGAACTCAGGCCGTTGACAGCGCTTCTTCTTCCGTTGCTGCTAGCACCAGCCCTGCCCCCTCTTCCTCTGCCGATGTCAGCGCCAGCAAGGACGCCGTCTCTTCCACTGCTTCAAGCACCACCGTCGATGCTAGCTCAAGCGCCAGCCAGGTCTCTTCCGCGGCCTCTGCTACTCCCACCACCTCTGGTGAGAAGTCTCGCGATGGCTCATGCGGTGGGACCAAGGGATACACCTGCGTCGGTTTCAGCACTCTCGAGGGCGTGAAGTCTGAGTGCTGCTCTGCTTGGGGATACTGCGGTACCTCTGAGGACCACTGCGGTGCTGGTTGCAACCCCGTCTACGGCAACTGCCCTTCGACCTCTTCTTCGTCTGCTTCTTCTTCCGTTGCTGTCTCCAGCGCCAGCGAGAAGTCTGACTCTACTTCTCCCACCGCGTCTATTCCTACGTCTGAGGCTATTTCTTCTTCCGTTGCCGCTTCAGTCTCTGCTTCGGCTTCTGCGTCCGTCTCTGAGTCCGTTTCCGCATCGGCTTCTGCCTCAGTCTCTGAGCACGTTTCCGCATCGGCTTCTGCCTCGGTTTCTGAATACGTCTCTGCATCCGTCTCTGCCTCTGAGTACATCTCCGCATCGGCTTCAACCCCTGTATCTGAGAAGCCAGAGGAACACGACTCCACCTCCGTCGCTGCCACTGCTTCCTCCTCTTCCGTTGCTGAGTCTGCTTCCGCCTCCAAGGATAGCTACCCCACCAGCTCCGCCATCTCAGAAGTCTCCTCCGCCTACCCCAGCTCCACCCCTGGAAACTCCGAGGCCGTCCCATCAAGCAGCCCCGTCGCCTCCGCTTCTTCCGCCTCTTCCTCCTCCCCCGCCTCCAGCTCCGCCACCCTCCCCAGCAGCGCAGCTTCCACCCCCTACGCCACCTCCACCATAACACCCACTCCCATCCTCTCCTCCTCCTCCTTCTCCACCGCCATCGTCCGCCCCAGCTCAACTTCCTGCTCCACCACCGCCACACCTACACCTACCAAGCTGCCCGTTTCTTCCAACGGAAAGTGCGGTGAGCACAATGGTGGCCAGACGTGCGCGGGCTACAAGACGCTGTTTGGTGTTGAGATGGGATGCTGCTGCAAGCAGAGTGGGAGGTGCTCGATTGACCCTTGGGCGTGTGGGCTTGGGTGCGATAAGGGGTATGGAAAGTGTTGGTTTTAGGTTATGAGTAGGGGATTGGGATGCAAGGTTGAGGTTTTTTCTTTACGTTCTGGATATATCCTGTTGAGATGATGGGGGTTTGCTGTAGTATGATATGTAACATGTAGTGCAAGAATACATGATGATGAAGATTGAAGTGTCGTTGTGAAGAGTGCATTACATGTGACTTCGTGTTCAATCGCCTTCGTCATCATTTGATAATGACTTCCAGGCATAACTCATCGTTGATACTGCAGTGCTGTAGGTAGCTTGTCATCTATGGGCATGGGAGATTAGATAGTCTAGGGTGCAGAAAGAAGCAGTCAGGTATTACGCCAGAATGGACATGGAACTACAGCTGGGAATTACATCTTAGTTACCCTCCGCACCAGACTTTGAGCGTCCTTCATCTCCGCCACTGGCCTTTTCCGTTGCCGTATTTTCATCCCTGTTGTGGCTCTGATCATTGCCATCGCCCTGCTCTTCGTCATCGCCCTTCTTCTTGGTTCCACCCTGGCCAGCAATGTTTCCGTTCTCGTCAACATCGCTGTCACCCTCTTCGCTACTATCACCAAGAGCGTCGTCTGAACGAGGAGCCCGGATTCCTTGCTGAACTTCCCATGCATCGCGAACATGTCTAGACCAGTGTACGCTCTCAATGTCGTTCCATATGGGCCATGGCCTTTGATATCCCGGAGCAAAGAGCACCTCTTTTGAGAATCTGCCCTCCTGTCGCCAGACACGCATCGTTGTGCCTAATGCAGTCAAGTTTACCACAGATTCGCGGAAGAACTTCCTTCTGCTCTTGCGTAGTTCTCGCACTCCAGCCGGACGATATTCATAGCCAGGATCCCAGTCCTCCAAGCTGAGTGACAGCTCAACGGTCTGGAGTTTCAGAGTACGGGCCACCTCCAGAATCGCGTCGACTCGTTCGTCTTGTGCACTCAAAGACACGATGTGTAGAGCTTTCAGACTACCAGGGAGGTACTCTTCAGGGCGTGTAAGGGCCAAGGTTTCTGCACGTCGATTGTAGATGAGATCTTGAGTTGCTAGCAGATGAGCGTCGAGCTTCAGTCCTGATAGTTTCGACAGACCCTTGAAGCTGCCGAATGTTCTCGGGGAAAACCAGTCTGGATCCCAGTCGATCTTGAACCAATGTAGAATCTCCAGGTCAGGTAGATGTGTTTCGACTGCTTGTGTCAAGTGTTGAAGATCGTAGTCCTTCCATTCGCTCTCGGGTTCAACATATAGTCCACTGACCTTCAATTCTTTGAGGTTGCTGAGTTCCGGATAAGCAAGAAGCTGTTCAAAATCAGTTGGACTGGCGTCAACGTTCTTCATCTCCAGGACTCGTAGCTTCGTACTAGAACCTCGATAGGGGAAATACATGACTCCCTGTCGGTGAGACCTGTAATTGTATTTGATGCTCAGGGACTCCATCCAGGGGAACACAGGTGTCGCACTGTATGCACCTCCGCCGATACAAAGACTCTTCAACTTGCCGAAAGGGCGGATCTCTGGCTTCTTACGATTGAGTCTCCATTCTTGTTCTAGGAGGTTTGTCGTGATCGATAGTGTGCGATCAGTCCTGATACCGAGATCCAAGTGCTCAAGATTTTGGGCGAGACAGAGAATGACAGCCAACGCGCCATCGAACGATTCTCGACACGCGTAGATATCACCGAACCAGCGCATGACAAGCTCCCAGTTTAGGTCCCTACCGATATCGTCGATCATGTCTCTTACAGTGGTGATTTTGTTGAAGGAGTCCCGGTAGTAGTCATTGTTGCCGTGCTTGACTGCGCGTGAGCTAGTCTCGTGAACAAGTGTGAAGCGTTTGATCCCTTTCGCTAGATCCGGTCGGTCAAGAATAGTAAGAAAGAGGAGATTGATCTGGAAGTATTGTTCTTCATGGAAGTAGATCTCCTTGTAGAGAAACTCTTCCGCCACCAGACGGTAATATTTCGACATCCGCAACATCTCAAGGAGCTTTTCCTTTGGCAAGTAGCCATGAATGTACTGGTGCAGCTCCATTGGTAAATCGTTCATCCACCTCCACCTCATGTTGTATTGATTCATGAAGTGACGATTGGTGTAGAAATGTGTGAAGACAAGAAAGAGCGGGCGGCGTAGGCTCGTGCTTTAAGTGAGGGAAGGCATGTTTGTGGGTCGTGTAGCAAAGAGAAAGAGCTATTTGGCCTCATCACATGATCAAGTTCAGGTGATCAAGCGCGATTGCTCACTGAGAGCTTGTTCAATGGACAATCGACAACATGGTAGTCTTGCGCGGCATTGAGTATGCTCGTGAACATTGCGTGACGTCCGGTCTCTTCGATCGGATAGTGAAGATAGCAGGGACACGTTCTATCGGCTGTAGGATCTAATGCTCGAGGCGCCGTACCATCTATGTTAACATCGAGTGGGGTGAAAACCACGAGAATGAGCTCTAGGGATTGCTGTAACAGCTTTTGTCAGCCAACATGATAAAACGCAGCGTCGAATATTATGCGCAGGAGTTGAGTATATGGAAGGGCCTGTTGTCCAGACACTCGGCATGACCCTTGCCATATCGAACCCGATGGTGCTCCTCATGTATGCTGGGACACCGAATCACCGACCTACTCGAGCGTGACTTGTGATAGATCAAAAGGAGTCGTTGGGCTGCCAAGTTGTGGCGCCCCGATTCGTACACCGAAGCAATGCTTGTCTATACAAGCCGGCGAATTTTTCAGGGGCCTGGCCGACGAATATATTGATCGCAATATCGTTGTTGTTACTATACCTAGGTAGCCGGCTCAGCAACACCAACAGGCTCGAGCGCGAAAGACAGAGAAGCAACACCAACGACGCCCATCAAAAACGTCATGGCCATGTCAGTCGTACCTACCCCTCAACAATCCGTATAATCAGTTCTCCATACCTGGGCATTCTCCAGACCCCGCGCCAGCGAAAAGGATACGAGATCGTGACAAACAGCGACGCGAAAACGTGCTCGTATGGCCGTCTCAGCAGGACGTATTCGTCGTAGGCGCCGCATCTCAGAAATATTGAATCGGGGCTATTTTGAGACTTAGGTGCATCGGTTAGCGCCCGGCCATGTGGGGATGTGGCTGGTGACCCATAAACCCTGTCATGTTTCGTGATGACGGGCCACAACTTTACAATGCCAATACCCTCTTTGACCCTCGGATGAACCAATCCTTTGAAGGGGTACTCACACCTTATCTGATCAAGACTACTCTCCAGATAAGCGTCAACATGATGAAATCTCGAGACCAAAAGACAACGCCGGGTCGTCCGGAAAGTCGGACGGTCAAGCCACATCAAGCTTGGCGCCTACGTCGAAACTCCCGCTGGCACATCGCGGATCACGGCTAGCGAGACCCCCGAAGCAGCCTAAGCCAGGGGCGGATCACAACCTTCCCCCCGCGCCACCTATAGGAATGCGCTGCAAACATTACACTACCCCTAACCCCCTGTTCTTTGTACGGTCCAAACGGTCCAAAAGGCCAGAAGCAGTGTGGCTGAGTGCAGCACCACCACCGCCAACAATGGCGTGCGTTGGTGTGATGTGTCGCGCGTTTCGTTTCGTATATCCCTCTTTTCTGTGCTGCCTCTGCGGCCCAGCTTACTTGCCTTAGTGCCTTGACTTCAATTCGAGCGCGCGGTTTTCTAGGCTGGGCTTAGACATACTTTAGCGAAGGTAGCTCGGACAAGCTTCGCGCCTGTTTAGAGAGAAAAAGCACGACTTGTGGGCGGTGTTCGAGACTGTCCTGACTGGTGGTGCCGTGTAAGCGGAGTAGCGAGCGGCTTTACTGCACGTTTTTAGTATATGAGCTTGCGGTGCCCGCGTTTGCGCTGACCCTCTTGGTTTTTAGGTATCGTCTCTTTGCATCGTCGAGTTTTGTGTTGCAGCATTGTTGAGCGCTTTCACGTTTCTTTCTTCTTGTTCATTGCTGATGGCCAGGTGACACTCGTTCGCTATTCTCTTCACGTTTACTACTCGTCGATCAACCGTGATCCTTTTACATATCCATATCCTTGTTTAATTATTCGGATACTGTCACTACATCTACGATACGAAACTCGAAGCCTACCGAACGCCATGTCATACCTTCCGCCACTAGGAGCCTTGCTCCTGCCTCTTACGGCACTACTCGCCCAGTCTGCACTCGCTGCCAATCCGTACACCAGCTCCATGAACGAGGCACCCAAGGACAACAACCCAGACTGCGACTGCTATGTCGTCCAGTCCGGCAAAGACTCGCAAACGCCAGAGTACTTCCAATACTACCGCTTCTACGACTTCCGAAACCTCCCCGGCGCGATGAGCGAGTCACCGCCGCTTCTCAACGATAGTCAGATCGCGGGCATGGCGAACACATGGCAGCCAGATCTGTTCAACAGCGATGCTTGGAACTACGATTGGGGCATCCAGAACTGGACCAAGCCCGCCACCGAAGACTTTCCTGTACCGATGAACAACTCCTTCGCGAACATCTTCCTCGGTGAAGAAGACTCCACATCCTACCTCGCACTACGAACATCGCGCATGGATGACTACCAGACGGCTGGAGAGATTGAGAACCAACAGAAGAACCTCATGCACGTTTCGATGCGCATGTATGGTCGTGTCCAGGGTGCCAAGGGTGCGGTGGCAGGATTCTTCACCTTCTTCGACGACGATAACGAGTCTGATATCGAGATCCTGACCGACGATCCTAAAGACCAGATCCGCTACACGAACCAGCCTTCCGTAGGCGAGGATGGCAACGAAGTCGCTGCTGCGTCTGTTGGCCCCACCGACCTCCCCCGCTGGGACGAATGGCAAACCCACCGCATCGACTGGCTGCCCAAGAACAGCTACTGGTACTTGAATCAGAAGCAAGTCGCCGCGAACACATACTCCGTGCCCCGCGAGCAGAGTTTCCTGGTCCTGAACATGTGGGGTGATGGTGGAGAGTGGAGCGGCGAGATGGATGTGGGCGATAGTGCCGAGTTCCACATTCAGTGGATCGAGATGACGTTCAACACCAGCGGACCTTATGAAGGAAAAGCCCAGGAGAACAAGAGGGATATCACCAATTTGTTTGGAAGAAAGAGAGCGGAGAAGGGATGCAAAACCGTGTGCAAGATCGATGACGTGAAAGAAGTCGGTACGCCTGAGGTTGATAGTGGGGCCATGGGAATGAGTGTTTCTTGGGGACTGTTGGTCGTTGTTGGTCTTGTGTCTGTTGCTGTAGGAATGTAGAAAGTAGATTCGTGTAATCATGATCGAACTATGTCTAAGGACACCCCCCACTCAGCGCCCAATTGTGCCGCGGAGGGAGCTGAGGGACCTCTTTCGGGAATGTGCATATCCAACATCCGTGGTCCGAGTCGTCTTGCATCTCCTCTTCGGGTTTGTGGGGTATTTCGCACGTACTTCCTTCGACGTAGTATCGCGTCCCATCTGGATGATCAACATCATACCTCCTGCTGTAATCCAGCGGTTGTGATGAACTCGCGATTCGTGTACACGCGATTTCTTCAAGCCCAAGATCCGCAATTTCTGTCTTCATTTAGCATTCTCCTCTGGTGCAGACTGATGATGAGTTTGATCTTACCAGGTGTTCTGCAGGCGATCCGCACGCAGAACTCGAAAGCGATGCCTACTGCGTCCTCACGCATGTACATCAGGTCTTTGATGTAATGGGTGATGATACCCCAATCGTAAGTAATCCGTTGTTGCCAATGGATGTAAATGCTTCTCAACTGAGGAAAGCTCCCGTTTCTGTGAGCCTCGTACAGTCCCAGAAAGTAGGGTCTCATGTCCGTATTCCACGGTCTGTAGGGTAGGTCGAGCCACAAATGCTCAATCGAGTTTGGTAGAGTATTCGAGAGAGCCGAATTTGGCAACTGTGGTCGCCAGCGCCCTCCTTCGTAGGGGAGAAGAACGTTGGGGTTCAACCTCAGAGAGGTGAGTGAACTCAAGCGGGTACCCTCGCTGAACATGCCTAGTCGATTGGATTGACTGCGTTCAACCGCTGCTAGTTGATCCCCAATTACCAACTTGACCAGTGTGTCAGCATGTTCTGCGAGGGCTATGCCGACATGTTCATAGAACTCGGGGTCGCTGGGTGGATCGTGGTATGACAAGACCACCTCAAATTCAGTGACCGCCCTGCAAGCAAGAATCATCTTTGCAACTATGGAACCGCTGAAACGAGGGGACAGTAACGTCAGTCGGGTGATGGGGGAATCGCGAACAGGCCATATCCAAGGCTGTCCCATGAACGTGGAATCGTTGACATCAGGCCCGACACTCCAACGAGATTCATGATTAGTCTCGCCACAATTGCCGAGGGTCAGTTCGGTGAGGTTTGGAAGCAGGAAGAAAGGTAGCGCATTGCGGACTGGCCATTCGAGACCGCTCTGGTAAGTGTCAAGATGAAGGACTCTGAGCCTTTCGAATCCACCCTCATTGGCACTGTGAGCCAGGCTGTTAAACAGGAAGCTGGTGTGGCTTTCGTCCAGTTGCAGTCTGGGTAAGCGAATCCAAAGACGCTCCAAGTTCGACGCAGAGAGAACACACGGCGTTAGTAGTACGTCCTCTCCCAGGACAGCGCGCTCAAGAAGATCGTGATCATCAGCGTGAGCTTGACTGCTGTCCATGGCCGAGATGAGTTTGCTGAGCCACCCATAGGGCTCTGGCTTATGATCTGGCATTTCGTTCACTGTTTCGCCAACGGCGTATTCACTACTTCCTGGGATGTCGCATCGATGCCTCCTTTGATAGCGGATACATCTTGCGTCGTCAATAACTTGCACATTATCGCCCTCGTCCTTGTGATCGCTCGTCGCTGGCAAGTCATGGCCCGCCCAAAAATCGCCTACCTCGAAACCGTCCTCCATCTTCAGTCTCAGATTCTTGATGTACCCACACAGTTCCACGTTTTCGAGAAGAGTACGCGGTAGCTGACGAAAGGCCTCGCTGTTCATGTCGCCTGCCCGCTCAATTGATTCGTAGATGAGCGATCTTGCAACATCTCTGAAGCTTCGGCAGACGCGACACAATGCCAGGAGGTCTCGCGAAGGAGCGGGTACACGTGGCGCAGAGAAGCATGTTATCGGCGTATGCAGAAGACTGAAGATTTGGAGGAGCAGCTCATTCGGAAACTCGTCCATGATTGGAAGACAGGACGAGAAACGTATTGCGCCTGAGACGGGGATTGTTGACCTTAAAAGTCGGGAGGGAAAATCAGGCAGCAGTATGAGTCAGACGCGCTTACTCTGCAGCCAAGAAGTCGCGTTCTCGCAATGTCGCGTCTTCGGCTAGCTCGGTTTTCACGCGCTGCTCACCTGGGCACGCCCTTGCCCGAGGCTGCAATGTTCTTTTACCCCCAATCACACCCAGGTCTACGTCTGCTCGACTCTTTTGCTGCAATATCTTGTGTGCGCCTCAGTTGTATGACCACAATGTGATAGCGTCATACCCAGGCAGTCACCGCCATTGCTGCTGCATAGCACAAGTCGTTGCATGCCAATCATTCCACACCTCGCTCTATATTTGCAAATAAGTACTAACGAGTCCGCTGTAGGAGATGTTCGCTCTTGCGGTGTCGAGAAGTCCCGTCGCATCTCGTATGTGGCCTAGATGCGTTGATGACGCTTTCAAGGCTTCTTAGTAGTACAGGTGCGACGAACACGTTCCGCACAGCAGTTGAGCGCCGTCTTGCGTATGATGGTTCCAGGTTCAGCTCTCAGATTCATTGTTCCTTTGGAAATTGTTGATGATTGCTAGCACCTTATCCCAGTCTGCCAACATTTCTGGGATGTCACGAACGATATCATAGGTTCCTAACACCCCCTGCTCATGGCTTGCATATTTTAGATTAAAAGCTGGCCCCAAGATATGTATTTGGCCACTTGGGACGAACAGATTGCAAGCCCTCTTCAGCCGGAGCCATGTCAGCAAGGCTCCCGATCGCTTACTTACCGGCACCGGTAATCCTGAGCGGGAGTTCGTTCCTTCCGCACTTTCCACGCATCAGCGTAACTCTTCATTTGATCCGTTTGGTGGACCTCAAGAATGGCATACACGCCTGGCTTCTGCGACTTCTGCTACGTGAACGTTTTGGGGGCGAAGAACTCATGGGGCTATCACCACCCAAGCGCATCGTCCCTCGCGAGCTCTGCTCACCGCGGCTGCACCTTTTGTAGTCTTCTGCATGGAGACTTTCTAATGCATCGCTCGCTCCTACAAAGACACGAGCACCACAATACTAGCTTGAAGCGCTTTCTGCATGAGGAAGTGGCAAGAGTCGACAAACTACTGCCGGGCCAGGGTTCGGTCGTATCTCTACATCGATGGAGTATTCGTACCTTAGGACGTACCCGAGAGACTAAAAACGAAGCAGTAATCATTTTCCGAGTTGTACCGAGGCTCATCAATGATGAGGACAACGATAATCACGAGGGAAAGCCACAGTTCTTCGGAATACCGGAACGGGTTTTCTACTGTGTCCTCGAAGAAGAGGTTGAGGGTTTATTGTCTCCTGCGGAGCTCGGCACGAGTACAAATCCTGCGTTTAATGGTGGCCAGCAGATCAAGGCTTGGTTCAGGACCTGTGGCATTGAACACAAACACTGTCCTAAGCGCGCTGGCTCGGCGAGCAAGTTCATCCCCACACGACTACTACATATCGGCGGCAAACGTACAGGGGATCGCCTGCGGGTAGTGAATACCAAGCTCAACAATGTCAAAGGCCCCTACGTCACTCTGAGTCACTGTTGGGGTAAAGCTCCGTTGGTGACACTGAACTCTAGTACTCTTGAAGAGTTCATGCTTGTCGGTCTGCCGTGGCGTAAATTGTCCAACAATTTCAAGCAGGCCATTGAGGTGGCCTGGTTCCTCGAGGTCGATTATATTTGGATTGATTCTCGTAAGCTCTCATTATAACGTCAAAGAGATAGTGGAAGCTGACATTGCCCTGATTGATTCAGTCTGCATCATGGTAGTATTGTCGCCCTACCTGTTAGGTCGTGCTGATGACTGTATAGCAAGGAGACGGCGACGACTGGAAGCGTGAAAGTTCTCGCATGGAACAGGTGTATAGGAACTCATTCTGCAACATCGCTGCTGCCGATTCCGAGAACGGCGCTGGAGGTCTCTTTCGCCAAAGAGAGGCGCGAGACGTCTTGCCAGCTATTGTGGACCCCGATGGGGTTTCTCCTATCCTGGGTAAGCGACGGTGGGTGATTGTACGTGGGGATCTGTGGGAACAAGGACTTCTCGTTAAGCCACTGTACAGACGCGGTTGGGTTTACCAAGGTCAGTGTCTCTGAGAAACTCCGCAAGCTTGCCTAACAGGCTCCAGAGCGTATGCTTGCACCCAGGATCTTGCATTTCAGCAAACAGCAGATCTTCTGGGACTGTGCCGAGATGAGCGCTTGCGAAACTCTTCCGGCTGGGTTGCCTTTGCCTTTAGACCAACAGTCGGCAAGTGATCGCCATTGGCGTGGACGTCTACAGGAGAGCACAAGGGGTACGACACTGCTCTCTGGGGTCAATGACGACTCGCTTGATGACCTATGGCGATCAGCAGTCATGATCTATACGAATCTTGACCTTACTAACCAGACCGACAAACGTATGGCAATTTGGGGTGTGGTAAAAAGGCTACGAGCAATACAAAGCGAAGAGTACGCTGCGGGAATGTGGGAGGGAGCTCTTGAGGAGCAGCTGGCTTGGAGGGTTCTAGACTGTACAACCAGCAAACGGCCTTCGGAGCTGAACATAAACCCAACCTGGTCTTGGACTTCTGTGAAAGGTACGATATTGAGCGCGGGCAGATCGGTTCGGTGGCAGAGAAGCTACATTGTTCGAGATCATGCTGGCAATAAGATCTGGTTCAACATTGGTGAGCAAGGCATCCGACCAGGACTGCCGACAAGACGTTCGGAAAACGCTAGCGATATGACAAGAGAATTGAACTTGTTGAGCGAGAGGCGGCGTCATTCGGGTACGACGACACGTACGGGCTCGCAGCCAAACGAACATGGATCTTTAGACGCCGATCAAACCCCTCGCCCCCTGCTCAGATCGAGGACTTCATCGCCGCTACGAATGGAGCATGCGACCCGTATACCTATTTCAAGAGAAGGAACGCAATATTCCAATGTACAGCAAAAACCGCAGACGCCGCCGCCTGACGAACGACGTGAAAACGAGCCAACTTTGAAATGTAAGAAGATTGCGATCCAAGGCTTCTTACACGTAGGTCGTCTGAGCCAAAGTCAATCCCATTCATGGTCCTTGGAAATTCCTCACGCATTCGACAAGACCGATGAGATCGATGCATTTCCCGATCTTGTCTCCAGTTTGGACGACCCTAAAACGATGTTTGTTGTGCTTGCATTGACGGAACGCTCCAACAAGGACGAAGCAAATACCATGGCGCAAGAAGTTTGGCTTGAAGGTCATGGTATCTTATTAGAAGAGACAAAAGATAGAAACGAGCCTTGGTGTTTTCGGCGGACCGGTGCCTTTGACATTCGCCATCTGAGCTACAAGACTTGGCAATGCCTTCAGACCACAAGCAGTAGCTTACCAGGCTCAATGATGGAGACGGATACAATTCCTTGCAAGAACTTCTACATAGTGTAAGACAGAAGAGTACATGTTATAGTCATTTATGTTATCTGTAACTCTACTCTTTTGGCTAGAAATCCAACCCCCTCTCTTCCGGCGGCGAGATCATTGGCGAAGCAGAAAAGACCAATCCCAGCCCCTTAACAGAATCTGATGGCTCGCGCCTGGAGTTTGGTAATGGTGATTGGAAAGATGACAACCGCCGAAGTAACGGAGACTCAAATGTATGCGACCTAGGAACCTTGGACGTCGGTAATTGTGCATACGCCCAAATCAAGTCCTCGTTGTATTCGTCATTCACAAACAGCCAGAAAAGGCGATGACACGCTGCAATGGTGGATTCTCGCCCAATAGATGGCGGGGCAATGATCGTGAGATATCCGTTCGCGGACTCCAGCACGTCTTCTGGGCTGCGAGGTGGCATTAAGCTCATGCGTGGATTGCGAGTGCGTTCCCGCAGTAGGTTGGCAATACGGGATAGCGGCAAGCCTCGAGCCCCATCTCCTTTCCGACCCACTGCTGCAATAGTCTTGAGAGCTATAGAGGAGCTATTAGCCGATTGCTGCTTGATCGTTTCGATCGCGGTGTTGAAATGATCTTGGACATTTCTCGGTATACGTTTTGGCATGAGATCAAGGGCCTCGGGTGAAGGCAGGCTGTGAATTCTGTCAACGGCAAGCTTTGCTTGCAGGATGCTCCCGTCGACATAACGCGCGATCTGTTGTATCCACTCATGACCTTTGTTACCGTGCATGGTGTTTCTGAAGGCAAGCCCGAACGAGGATAGCGGAGGTTCTGATGCATCCTCTAAGGTATTGAATCCGAGATCGCCATGCTCACGTTCGAGATCCCATTCTATGTACTCTGCCATAGCATCGTCTGACATGCCATCGAGCGTCACATTGTAATACTCTGGGGACTTCCAAGTGCCCACCGAATCGCTGACTATGGAGTTAGCTATTGTTGTTGTAGCGGCTGCGTTTCATCTGGGTATCACCCAGGCCGGACTGTACTTACCATTGCTGACAAGAAGTATCTTCCCTCTTGCAATTGATGCAAATGTCCCTTTCCTGGCATTTAGAACAGCGCCAAAACACCGTGAGGGGTGAGTCTCGCGGGTGATAATCGCACCATATGTTCATTGCTGGTTCATGCCTGGGCAAACGTGACGTGACAAGTATCTTCAGTCCCTCATCTTGCAGGATATCGAACTGCTGCTGTACCAGTTCCCGCAACGCTGGACTGCACTGATCTAGATGGTCGATGATAAGCACTACGTCTCCACTTTTGGCCAACTCCGCGGTCCTCAAGCGGAGTGCTTGTGCAATGGAAGTAATCCGTTTCGAAGCTCTCTTCCCTGTGCGCAGCAAATCCTTATATGCACCGTAAGCCAAAGTTGTTGCAGGATCGATATTGCAGCTAGGGGGCGACACATGGTTGTATATGGTATCCAAGAGATCCTCTAGGAAGGCGAGTTCATTTTCGATTTTGCGATGGTTGATGAAGATGCTGGCAAGCTGCAAGGTCTGCTTTTCTGACGCCAACATGCATCCTCTCAAGCGTTTGGCTACTAGTGATGCGAACGCCGTCTAAATATCCCATGAGCATTTTCGTTAGCGTTCTAGATAGCGACTGACCTTACCTGCTCCCGGCCCGCCAACAACATGGAGCTGCCAATGGTCTTTACATTGTAGCCACTCTTCAAAGAGCTCGCTGCCAAGTATACTGTCAAACAATCGTTCGTAGATGTCGGAAGCGATAGGGAGAGACTCTTGAATCGCTGCGTGAACGACCATGTCTCGTGCAAAGACGTCGCCATCATCTCTAACTGTGATCTGACCGATAGCGAACATACTGTTTCGATGAATGCGGTTTCAAAGCCCGAGCTGTATCGACCTTGACAAGGCTGCGTCTCGAGGACCTAAGATCTAATGTGTAAATGCACCTGCCCCTCTCGCAATGAATGTGTTTGGGTTGTGGTAGGCCAAGTGATTCACAGCCTCAATCAGGCTGACTGTACGATATTGAATTCCCATAGGTGGCGTATAAGCGGGAGGGTCAGCGCTGCAGAACCCCTGACAGAATAAATCTGGGGGCCAAATTCGGGGGCCGATCGTGGGGGCCAACTTCACCTTCGAAAGCAAGCATCAAGCTGACGGCGAAGATTGACCGGTCATGTAAGGATCTTGGAGCAAATTTGCATACATCGATGGGCTTGTATGACCGTAATTTGCATTGACCTCGTGGATGCTGTATGACGGTCTGGGCAATGATTGGTGCGCGCCATCATGAAGCGGCTCCCATGGCAGTACGCTCAGCTGCCTTCCCGCTCCTTACCGCCGGGCCAAATATAGTTGCTCCCTGATATGGCTTCTTCAAGGTGCCGCAGTAAGACTGCTGAGCAACAGACCTACTCGGGCGGGTATCCAGCCTTCCAAGGTTCCTATGACCCTTTTCCCGAAAACAGCGGTCTCTTTCCAAGTCTATATATTTCATTATCATGCTTTTGGTGGAAACTGGTAGAGGCTAATCCTCAGATTCGGCTGCTTTGTTACACTCGTATTTCTCTTGGAGTTCTATTCTTCTTGACTATGACCCCATTCCCGCAACGAACTTGACAATTCCGTTCCAAACAACTTGCGATCGCCACCTTCGAAATGCTGTTCCGAACATCAGCGCTCTCGATAGCGGTGTTGAGTAGTGTATATCTCTCAAATGCGCTATCGATATCGACGCCCGACAGTCCTTACAATAAGATTCGTGTTCGCCAGGAGGATGCCGAAAACCCAGACTCGAGTGCTTGCGGCTATATCATCGACAACGTCAATGCTGGATACGCTTATCACTACGCATACGATGCATACGCTTGCCTGACCAGCGTACCTTTCAACACTGATGTTGCCACTCGCTTCATCACGTACATCAACGACACCGTGCAGTTTCAAAGCACTCTTGCATATCTCCGGGAACCTCCAGCTGGATATCAGCAACCCGCTGTGGATATCCTGTCGGAATTGACACAAATCCAGAACAACATCACGGCGCAAGTCTACAAGAACCAATATCAGTTCGAGGTTGACGTACAGCATTTGCTGGATAGAGCTCATGATGGCCACATGTATCTGAGAGGCGGTATCATGGCGGCTTTCTCCTTCCTCGCGCCGTATTCCATCACCGCTGCCTCGCCGGACGGTGCAAGTCTACCGAAGCTTTACCTCACGAACGATCTCGTACAAAGCAGAGATGAAGGTGGGACGCCTACCGCAATCGCTACAATCAACGAGATGGATGCAGTGGAGTACGTCACAAGATTGGCAAGCATCAATGCCGTTGGTGGTATAGAACCAAATGCCGACTGGAACCAACTGTTCTACACACCTGCCTCGGCCATCCAGGGATTTGGTGGTATCTGGGACAGTGGCGCACGCTTCTATCCAGGAGACGAGATTGCGCTGGTCATGGAGGACGGTACCGAGTACCTTGATTACTGGCTCGCGCTCTGGAAGGAGCCGTATGAGACAGGCCCACTCACCACTGGTGGAGATCTTTACAACTACTTCGTTCTCAACTTCTTGCCCGCCTCGTATGACCCGAGCGGGAACTTCTACAACCCAGCATATGCTATTCCCGAAGATCTCAACACGACTGGACCTGTTGTCGCGCCTACACCTGATCAGCAGTCTTGGGATGTCAAATCCAGCGGAGCATATCCCAATCCTGATGTTCGACAAGAGGGCCTCGCAGTTCGCAGCGATGGCATTGTCTCCGGCTATTTCCTACCACAGGTCAACGCTGCGACGCTCAGCATTCCTTCGTTTGCACAATACTCTGACTCCATCGGTGACTTTAGCAATGCCATATCAGACTTCATCAGCAACACAACTAAACAAGGCTTGAAAAGAGTTGTGATAGACCTCCAGCAAAACACCGGGGGTACCGTAGAGCTTGCCTTTAGCACCTTCAAGAGATTTTTCCCGAACGTGGATCCATACGCAGGAAGCAGGCGCCGAAATCATCATCTCGGAAGCATTATCGGCGAAGCATACACATCTTACTTCAATAGTCTTAATCCTAGCGATCCTGACTATAACGACTTCCTCGCTGCTGAATGGACGGCTACGTCCAAACTCAACGCTATAACGGGTCAAAACTTCACTAGCTGGGCTGAATACACAGGACCTGTGCTGGAAAAGAGCGATTCCTTCTCGCTCACAGTACGTTGTCAGCCAAGTCTCATGCGATAGGTAGATCTAACAGAGACTAGGAGCGATACAATCTTTCGAACTCCGCGTTCACTTCCGCTTTGTTCGAAGGCTGGGTGCCATCGGGTTATGCTCCTGAGTATCCCCTGGACTACACGACTCCACCATTCGCGGCTGAGGATATTGCCATAGTAAGTGTTGTGGCTCATGGTCAACTACCAAGGCTGACAAGTTTTAGTTGACAGATGGAGCTTGTTCATCCACATGCGCTCTTCTGGTCGAGATGCTCAAACAGGTCGGCGTTCGAACCATTGCAGTAGGCGGACTTCCAGCCACCGGCCCCATGCAAGCTGTAGGAGGTATGTTTAAGGATACTGAGATACGCCAGTCGATCACCACTAACAAACATCGCTCCAGGAAATCGCGGTGCCGCAATTTACTCCGCCGATCGAATCGACTATGACCTCGCCGTAGCGCGCCCCGCGGGGTAGATGATAGACGCCCCTAAGTATTGCCTAATAATGTTTGCTGTAAACGTAAGATTATATATAAAGGCGGCAAAAATGCATAGTATAGTAGTTAAGCTATTATGTTTAATATAATGCTAAAAGAGAGATAAGGTTAATAGCTATTGTAGTTAAGATAAATGCAAAAGACTATTTAGTATATTGTAATAACAAATTTAAAATAATTAGAAAAGAGTTAGTTAGTATAATAAGCTTGTTATTATAATAAAATTAATATGTATTTTAGGTAATATTAAAGATAGAAGCAATGTTAAAGTAATGTTAATTTTAAACGTAATATTAAGGTTTATTATAATATTAAAAAGTTAGCAATGTTAAAGAAATATTAGTATTATATTATACATGTTAAAATGTTTTTTGTATTAAGTGTTCTATTTAATACGCCTATAATATACTTCTATAGCTATATTACTTATAACATTTTATTAGAAGAAATTGCACTATAACTAGCTTATATTTATAGCACTCTTATAATAAAGTAGTAGTTATAGTATAGGTTAGATTTATTCTAGCTACGCTACTACATAAAAGTAGCTACTAGAAATAATAATCTATTACGTCTAGCTACAACGTAAAAGAGACACGCTACTCTTGCGCTAAATAAATATATACTATTAAGCCTTAGCTATTATATTAGTATATATAACTCTACTTCTTAGTATATATAAGATGTAATATTATAACGCAGCTACTTACTAATTCTATTACTCTTTTATTAGTTAAGCCTAGCCTCTCTAAACTAATACTACCTAAAGAATAGACTATACTAAGTGTATAAGTTGTGTATTTTAGCTTATCGCGGAAACTCTTATTAGTTAGTATACTAGGCGCTTAGGTTAATAATGTACTTATCTAGCAAGCAGACTAACTTATATAACTAAAGTAAGTTACTAAGACTTTTATAGAATAGATAAACTATTTACTATTAGAAAAGTAGAGTCTAGCGTGTAAGATTAAAGACTATCTTTATACTAAAAATATAATATAGTAAAGAAGCCTTATACTTACTACGTGCAAAGAGAAGAGATTAACAATCTAATCTCTATACTTAATAGCTCTTAGATAGTATACATTTTATCTATAATTTGTCTAAGTACACCTAAATGCTAGATGTATTAAAGTAATCTATTAGAATACTAAATAGAATCTAGAAGTATATAGGTAAGCGAGAATGTAGTTATAGAGTAGACAGGTAACTAAGTTACTAAGATACACTAGAAATAGAGGCGTAAAGCTGCGCCTTTATTCTACTTTAGCGTTAGCTTAGATCTAGATCTAACTAAGACATATAGATTACTACTATCTTAGATTTAGCTACCTACTCTTAAAGATATTACTAATACTTACTATTATAATTAGTAATAGCTATTATATTAATATTACTATTATAATATAGGTAAAAATAGAAAGGTAAAGATCTTATAGTTAGCTTATTAGGTAATAATTTATATATTCTCTTCTCTCTTACACTAGCCTAACTATCTCTATACAACTAGATATTATTCTAAACTATAATAATTACTTATATTCTTATAAGTATTAATTAGTTATCTTATATTTATATAGCTCTAATAATATAGAATAGCTAGATATTTCTTATTTATATAGTAATAGCTTATATTCTGTTAGCTATTTATTAGCGTAGGTTCTAAGGTTCTTTAGATATTCTCTACCTAGCCTAAGGCTCTTACTTTGCTAATACTAACACTAACACTACTACTACTACTACTACTACTACTATATCTATCTCTTTTATTAGCATAACGCTGTTAACACTATTAGTTCTATTATATTTATCTACTTAGCAAATACCTTATTATTAGACTTAGATATATCTACCTCTACTTCTATCTCTATCTCTACCTTATTAGCTAGAGGCTATATTTATTTCTTAGCTAATCTTAATAGTATATATACTTACAGTAAAGATATTCTAGCACTTAGAGGTAGCTATAGTTACTTCTAATTCTATAACACTTATTATTAATAGCTATATTACTACTAGCTATATTACGTAGTTACTACCTAGAGCTAGCGTTACAAAATAGCGCAATTTTCTAATTATAGAGATAACGTTCTCTTTACTCTTACTTTTATTACTCTCTACTCTATAGCCTATAGATAATAGCTAATAGCTTAAGCTTAGACCTAGTGTACGTAAAATCTCTTTAAGCTACCTCTACCTCTATTACTTTTACACTTAATACCTCTACTAATAATAACACTAATAGTAATAATTCTATTATAAAGTACTATAAGTCTATTAGCATTATTATTAATATTTAGATACTACTAACCTTTACTATAGACTTAGTTTCTCTCTTTTAGCAGCGCGCTATTAGTAAAGATCTTAATAAGTCTTCTAATACCTTAGCTCTAACCTCTTTCTTCTTATATTAACCTATATATAATACTACTATAATACCTAGTCTAGTCTAGTAAGAATAAAAGCGCCTATTAGCGCCTATTACGCGCTATTAGCGAGAACCTTAACAAGTCTTCTAATACCTTAGCTCTAACCTTCTCTTTCTTATATTAACTAATATACAACATTACTATAATATCTAGTCTAGTCTACTAATAGTAGACGCGCCTACTATAGCTAAGACGCGCCTTCTAGCTCTACGTAAACAAACAGTAACGTAAATAGCTTAACTAAAGGTAACTTTAAAGTAGGCTTTCTTGCTAGAGCTATAGCTATAGAGTTCTATTTAGAGCTAAGCCTAAATATAGACATCTTATTACTAGTTCTAAGCCTAAACATAGTTATTATCGCTAGCTCTAGCTCTAGTTAGTATCTAAAAAGTATAACTAGTAAGAATAAGTTCTTATTAAGATATATTAAGATTGTATTTAATTATATTATAGGTTGTAAATTATACTACAACGCTATATTAACTATTACTAATATTTATAGTTATTATTATTACCTAAACCTTATCTTTATATTTAAGCCTACGTCTATACTATAAGCCTAATATATCGCTATTAGCCTAACCTATTATTATACTATATTATATATTCTTAAAGTTCTACCTACTATATCTTTACTTTATTCTAATAACCTAAGAAGATATTTATACTATATAGATATAAGGTTAGATTATTAAGAGCTAGCGTGTCTATAGTAGAGGAGAATAGATATTCTTAGACTTAGAAGTTATAGGCTTAGAAGTTATAGGCTTAGAAGTTAAAGGCTTAGAAGTTATAGGCTTAGAAGTTATAGGCTTAGAAGTTAAAAGCTTAGAAGTTATAGGCTTAGAAGTTATAGGCTTAGAAGTTATAGGCTTAGAAGTAAGCTACGCTATCTAGATTAGTATCTAGTATAATCTTCTCTAACCTAGTAGTAGGTAGACAAATAAGACAGGTCTAGCTATAATCTAGAGGTATATCTAATAGAGAATAATATTATTCTAATAGAAGTAGATATATTTCTAAAGGTAAGAGAGTAAGCTATAATATTACCTAATATTCTAATAGTATAGAATAACCTCTAGATCTAAAGAAGAGTAGCTAGACTTAGCCTACCTCTAGACATAATAATATTGCAATATATTTTAGTAACATTACCTAGCTATTCTAGAGGTAGTTTTAGATAGTAGATTTACTAGTTTAAGTCTTAGAACGTTTAGACTTATAATTTTTAATAATCTAAATCTACACCTAGAACGTAGACTTAGAATTTTAACTACTTAGTAAACTAGTAAATATTTACTTATTTCTATAAAACTATTAGTTAGACTTAGTAATTTTTAATTGCCTAAATCTACACCTAGAATATAGACTTAGAGATTTTAATAGCTTAACGCCTATAGTAAATATTTATCTATTTCTATGTTACTAAAACTATTAGTTAGACTTAGTGCTTTTTAATTGCCTAAATCTGTATCTAGAACGTAGACTTAGAGATTTTAATAGCTTAGCACCTATAGTAAATATTTATCTATTTCTACATAGCTCTAAGTAAATTAGCTCTATATCTAGTTAGCTATATATATATTTACTATAGGTAATATAGCTATATACCTAATCTTATTATACTATTATATTAGCCTACGCAATAGATTAGAAAGTAGTAAAGGTAAAGAATATTATTTATATACTAATAGGTTGTATTTAGCTATAGAATATTATTAAAATTATTAATTTACTCTATCTTAATAGTGTTGCGTTAGCCTTACGTATAGTAGATAGAGGTAATAAAGAGTTAGAAAATAAGAACTATTAACGCTTATCTAGTAGAAGTAATATTTAACATTATTCTTAATATAAGATACGTAATATAAAATCTATAATATAATAAAAGAGAAGCGCTTAGCTAATAAAGATAATCGCAATTTAAGAGTAGAGAAAAGAAGAGTTAACACTAGCTGTTGCTCTTAAACTTCTCTAATATTATTAGCGTAACTTCTAGAAAGTAGTATAGTAATTACTACCTAGAAAGAGTAAAGTGTCTAACATTTCTATATATATAACTAGCTAAGATACTACACTTATCTAGGCTAACTAATAGTAAACTAGTAGTATAGAGCATATTACTCTATTAGCCTTTTAGAATATAGTTAGAATAAATACATACCTATATTAGTAGAAATATTACGCTAACTAGGTAGGTAGCTAATAGCTAACTTATAGAAAATTATAGTGCGTATTACGTTACGTTACGTTACTCTACTTTCTACGCGCACTATATTTCTTTACTATAGACCTACTCTATCTTATCTAGATAGACTATTACTATATAGAATTATAACTTTATTTTATATAGGCTCTTTAGAATTTGTATATAGCTAATTATATTACTCTTTACGTATACTATAATTATATTAGCGCGCAGAGCTATTACAACTTTTTATTTTATATTATTACTACTCTAAAGATAAAAGTTCTACCTAAGTACTTGCGTAGAACTAATAGCTATAAAAAGCTATTTACTTTTTAACTCTC